CTTATAAAGATTTCCCTTACTCTCCTCCTCTTAGCCTGTATAGATTTGGGGATAAAATGAGACTTTTGAATCTATTCTTAACTCACTTATTATGTTTATAAAGAAACTGATTAAACATTAATGCCTAGGACAATTCATATATATATATATATATATATATATACTGGCATAAGGAAGAGAATCTTGAGGATATTGCTGCATTTATATTTCTTAATATCAAATTATTAAAAGAAAAGCCAGGAAAGAAGGGAATGATTTCATATTCTTTTAACAGTTACACAATATTCAGTTACTGGTGTGAAGTCTGATTTTAGAAATTAAGAAGCATTCTTACTGAAGTGGTTATATGGTGATTGTTAATGAAAGCCAGTGCTTTAATTTATAAAGGGAGCAGTTTTCAGGGCAAATAAAAATAATGTAGAATTATACATTATAATTTCAGAGTTTGCTTTTGGGGAAAAAACAACTTCCTGCTGCAATATTGTGACTTCTAACAACTGACTCAAATTTCCAAATCTTCATTCTTAATAGTGAATGGCATACCTCTTTTTCAACAAAATCTCATATAACTTTTTTAAGACACAATTTTAAGTTCAAATGTTAATCTCTTACATATTAATGTCTAATGTTAATTTCCTATGTTTTAGTGTTTAACATAGTTTCCTCTAGTGCTTAGGTGGAACAACTTGAAAGCACAAATTAAAGATGTGTTAGTTATCAGCATTAGATCTCCCTAAAAGGGAATGGCAAAATCTAGATGGGATGTGACTTACTTAAATATTAAATAATTCTCCCTCCACTGAGCTAGGTCATTGTTTATAGACATAAGAAGTATAAATTCCTCCTTTAAGAAGTAATACTTCATCACTTTTATATACTAGTTTTATTTTCCGTATTTTAATATAATACCATTTTACTTTGGGGTAGAGAAGAGTAGAGAAAAGACAATTTTCAATTGGTTTTCCAGTTGCATCACTTTGCTAAAAATAATTACTAATAGTGGGTTGCTTTCTGACAAGTAGAATTATGTTTTTGGAAAATTAATTGGACTTGTGTTTGCCAATTTTGTTCAGGAAGGACTCATATTAAAATTTCACCCTTATATTAGTTTGGATTACTTTGTTTCCTTTCTACCTTCTGACTGACATGTGTGGCAGAGATAATGTCTCCATACTATTATAGTAGTTGATTCCAGACTATGTGTTCATAGAACAGCATCAGAGCTAACTTTGGTGTCTATTACCAAGAGTTTATGCCATTCACCTTGCCTTTTTTATATGATCTTATATCTTCTAAAGGAGAATTTGTTTCTTTTCTTATTAGACATAATATTTGTGGAAACTAAATTGATTTTATTTTCCTCTATCTGCAAAGAAAGATAACAGTCTCTTTTGTATAAGCTCCAGATGGAAATTTATTTTTCCTGAGGTTCTGCCCTCCTGCTTCTCAGGGACCCATGGTGTACTGGCCTGCAAGCATTTTCTTGCATCATTTAGTAATTTTCCTGCCTTCAGACTGATGGGGTCACCTACTGGTGACAGTTCCTTGTCAAAAAGCTGCTAAGACCACATATCAGTGTTGTCTCTGCTATCTGGGCACTATTCAGGAAGGAGGCCAGTTTGAGTATTAGCAATTTGCAGCTTAGAAATTCTGGAACCTCCCGTGACCTTCACCTCTCCTTTCCAAATTTTGCCATTCTCTAGTCAATTTATCATCATATATTATATATTTTTAAGTTAGAAGTTAGGCTAGTACAGTTAACATCAAAAGTACTAAGTGACTAGGCCAGCATGTCTTCATTTTCATGGTTAATTTTGATGGACTTTACAATCACAGTTGGGGCATCCTATTATTTGAATGCCCCAATTGTTTTTATATCCCTTTATTATTTTATTTTATACGGAAGTTAAGCTTGGAGATATTTTCTGTTTGTTTTTTTAAATGAGCTAGAATTCAGTTGTTATATTCTTTTACTTGCTTTTCAATCTTTTACCACATCACCTGTGCCACACCTATCCTTTGGGTCATGACAACATCAGTTTACCTGACATAAAACAGAATTGGTGTACATGTAGTTACCTACAGTAGGCTCTCCAGAAAATTTCCAGGATTGGTTCTTGAGAATATTGAGGTAGGATTTGTTGAAGGGTGGGCACTGAAACAATAGAGCCTTATTCACAAATGAAAATTGAGTGCATTTTGGAGCAAGCTACTCACCTGGAGTATGTGTCTTTAAATATGCTAAGCATAAAATACAAAAATAGCCTACTTCTGTGAAGAATATCTTGGCCAAGGACACTGTATTTCATCCTCATGATGAAATGCAGATTCTCCATCAAGAATCAAATTTATCATTTCAAAAAGTTATAGAAAGTAGTACTTTAAAATAATTCTAGTTGATTACATTAAAAGCATTGAACAAGTCCAATAAAGAATATTCCTTGAGTTTGTAGCTTCAAAAAGTCTTTTTTTTTTGATTGGATACATTTTCACTTGTTTTAAGCCATTCTCTGTCAGTATTTTGTCTTATAGTGTCAGATGAATATTGTTACGATAAAGGGTTTAATTATGCTCCTATACAGTGCCCTTCACTATACAGTGCTTTTTTGTTTGCAGTTACGTTTTCATTGTGGTGCACCTTTTTTTGATGCTTGCTTACATTTTACATGAAATTGGCCTTTTTGGGGGATTCTTTTCAGAATATCATCTTTTTTTTTCTTAGAAGCCTTTTTCTATTTGATATAAAACTTACTTTAAAAGTCTAATTGCATCAGAGGAAAATATTCCAAAGTCAGTTAACTATTACTTTAGCTAATGAAGGTAGAAATAAGAATTTTATTTCTACTAAATATCATATTTTCTACCTATGCATCAGCAACTTTCTTTATATCTTTCTTATCTTGATTCCAACATATTTCACAATAAGTTACCTTCATAAATTGCTCTTTTTTATCACAAAATAAGGAATGGGAGTGTCTTCAAAGGTATTTAGGTCAACCAGTTAAAGATGTTTAAAACACCGCTAACTTTGCCAAAAAGTAGTTCCCATATGCTCTGAGTTTCCTATTTATGATTAGGATTTCTAATGAGAATGGGTGAATATAGGATTTAAAGTCAGAAGCAGAATTTCACCTATTAGCTTTCTATATAATGACCTGACTCCCTGAAATTTCCACTAACTCTCCATCAACCACTGGGAGTCATCCAAAACAATTTAAATTCCTCTTCCATGTGATATTTGTCATCAATAAATCCTCTCTCATTTATGCTATACCTCACCAGTTCTCTAACCCATTTATTCTAGTTTTTAATTCTGTCATCATCACAGATAACTCAAGTAGACCTTAGATAAGTTATTATCCAGAAGTCTTTTAAAACATGTGTACTGCTGCTGGGCCATATCTCCTCCTTTTTATGCTTGGGCAATTATTGGCATTGATATTGTTATTGTTATTTTTTCTGAGAGTAGGATTTTTTTGTTTCTTTTTAAATGTAAAATTATTAGTTTAAATCTGCCTTATCAGTAAGTTCTGGGATTTGATTATTTAATTCATCTTAGTATCACTTTAGGACCAGGTTTTTGTCCTCAGGATTTAATTATATATATTGAAACTAAGTAGGAGAGGGTCCTGTCGTCCATCACCAGCAAACTATGTCCTGGTTAACTCTGGTGGTCACTCAGCCTTTATGAATTTCCTTGACAGTATGCTTTTCCACTTCATACTGTATCCCTTTATAGATAAATAAATTAATATAAGTAATTTTAATGAAAAGCCATCAGATATTCAACTCTAATTGAAGATTTACTCTACCAAAAAGTGTATATAAAAAATTTGAAGACTTGGTCGCAGTGACTAAGTCTTTTACACTGTAAAGGTGGTACAGTTTGAACACATGTAAAAAAAAAATAAGTGTAGACATTTAAAAACATGAATTTATATATGTTTAGGGAACATTAAAAGAAAATATTGGTGAGTGTAATTAGCTAGAAAAATCCAGAGCAAAGAA